AAACAACCAACAAAACCCCACAAAACAAAGAAAATGTCTCTCTGTTTAGAAGGTATCTTGGCTCTTCCTGCTACTTCATAGCTAAACAGCAAGGACAGAAACTGGAAAAGAAACATTCTCACTTTGGACAAGGAGCACAGTTCCCAGAACTGAAACCTGACCTAACCAAAGTCCTGCTCTCCACTAACCCCTAAATTCCTCTGAAAAGAATATTATAAAAGGCAGGAGGAAATGGAATTTGGGCCAATATTCAGGGGAAAACAGCAAAGGTGAGCAGAGCAGGGCAGGCAGCTGAGTGCAGCATGCAGTTTCACAGCCTTTTGAAGATATATGTGAAGTCTACAGGACTTTGGATATCCATTTTTGTTGCAAATCTCACATGTAACAGCTGAAAGCAATGTTATTCTAGCCAACCCCAGCAGTTCTCACTGCATAAAAACATTAAGACCAGATAATGACCATGCTTTATTATCAAAAAAAATATCTATTAGTCATAAACATTGATATTTACCTGGTACCCATGTCAGAGGGGCACAAACAGCATTGCTAGCACTGATCCTATGGGCATATTTAATTATTTCTTCAGAGGAAATGGCACCTGGAAGAATGGAAGGAAAGTCACTATGTTGTCAACAGATTGCATCTTTCAATGATTTCAGAATATTGGCCAACATCCAAAAGCTGGGGAATGTCTTTTTATTGAACATTATTAAGTGCACATGCTTTAAATGCCATGACTGCTTAGAGGATTCTTGGACTCTGCAAGGATGAGCTTTGCAGTGAACTGATTCACTGCACCTTCAATGCCAACAGTGCCTCCACCTTGTGAAAAAGCACAAAACCATCTCTTAGGCAGTGTAACTTCACAAAATTCCTTATTTTTACATGAAAGAGATACCAAAACTATAAGACTGTAAAAAATCACCAAGAAAGTACCACAAAGTGGCACAAATACAAACCAGTATCACAAGCTAGTCACAATCTTGCAAATACACCACACAAACATCATTTCTTTCCTCAACAGACTCACTGAGGCCATTGGGTGAGACACTTGTAACCAGAGGTGCTATTATCAGTCTGAGAAGAGTGTCAAGACACTTGAATTTAAGTTTAATATTAAGATATGTCCACCACAAAAAAGAAAAAAGGAATGTCTGCTTTTATTCTGAGGAAATAGTTACAGCTTCATAAAGAAATGGAACTTTGTCTACACACAAAGCATCCAAAATCTGTGATGGCAGCATAAAAAAAATGAAGAAAACCCTCACTTGAGCTCACTTGCTTTACAACTGCATTTATGTAGTATGTGCACTCACCTTTTCTTGCCTTTTCAATTGATTTCAGCTTTTCCTTTGCTTGATAAACAGCTGTTGCCTAGTCATAAACAAAAAACAAATAAACTAAAGCATATCTTCAATGCACCTTTAATTTGGAAGTTCTACATGAAGTCAGCCCTGTGAATAAATCTTTGCATTTAATTACATTTTAAGAGAGAAACTATTCAGTGAACATTTTCAAAATACACAGAAATAAAAGAGGTTTGGAAGAAAATTTGCATTATAAAACAAAACTGAATGCCATGATAACTAAACAGTATCTGACTACTGAAAAAAAAAACCCAAACACTAAGCTCTGAGGAAGATTTAAATATTTAAATCTTCTCAAACTAACACAACACCACTTCCTCCAGAACCACCTTTTGCACAAGTAGATGCTCAAAAGCAAACATGTCATTATGAACTTACCAGTATGTGCTCAGCTTCTTTGAGTTGCTTCTGCAGCTGCTGAATATCATTATCCCTCTTTTCTACCACCTTCTCTAAAAGCTGCATTTCATGATGGATTTTCCCCTGATCAACTGCCAGCTTCATTAGCTCTTGAAACTCTCCATCTCTCTGAATCAGCAGTTCCAGGATCTATTGAACAAGAGTTTTGCAGAACTTTTAATTATCCAGAGTAACAACACACCCTCAATCCTGCTGCAAAGGAAAGCAACAGACACCCACAGGAGTATTTCTGTTTGCATGAAAAAAAATGAAACAAAAATGAAGCATGCCACAAATGAACAAACAAAAACATGAGGAATGCCTCTGTAGGGGGGGCCAAAACCTCATCATCACCATCAGCCTGAGCCTAAACAAGGACAAAGAAAGCAAAAAAACCAGCAAAAAAATCAGAAGCAAAGGAATAGTTTAGAAAGTCAGCTTACCTGGCCTTCCTCTCCTGCTTGTGGAAGCTTCTGGTTTCTTGAAATGGCCAAAATTTCAATCAGTTCCCTGAAAAGAAAATTCTGTTTGTGAGATTTTCTTGGGCGTTATTTGTAAACCTCAGCAGGTCATCCCAAAATTGTCAGAGTAGTGATATCATCACAAAAGCATGCAGGGACTTGAGTATTTTATAGTTTTACAGGACAGGGCTGGCAGGGACTTCTCAACTAAGAGCCATTCTGTGAATAGTGTCATGATTGGAGCACATTTTCTTCTTTGTTCTTGGAGTGCTCGTGTATTTGTACCCAGGAAATGTTCTGAGCTCCTGCTGAACTATAGAAGACACAAGCAGAAGCTGAGTGAAGAAACAGCACAATGAAATGCATTCATGGCCTACACTTCCACTGCCTTTGTGTGTTGCAAGAGGGCACTGAAGTTCTCTTCACTATTTTACTTCTCTACTTTCAGTCCATTTTTCCCCCAGCAGAGCAAGTTTCATGCTTGGGTTTAGCTCAATTAACTCTACACTTCCAAATACCTGAAGAGTTTGTTGTGAAATTCCTTTTATAACAAGTTATTTGTACATCAGACACAACAACAGTTTTTTTAAACAGTTCTACTGCTAGGTGAGAAGTGCTTCTCAAACAAACCTCTTGATCACACTTCCAGGTACCCATTTACTTTTCCACCAGGCTGAGAAATCATCAAGAACCTCAGAGAGGACTTGCTAGACAATGCCTGAATGTCATTGCTTGCTAGAATGTCTGAAAAAGCCCCTCACCAGTAAAGCTCTGAACAGCATCTTAGTCTCTATCTGTTGATCATTCCAAAACATTAAAATTATTTAAAACAATTAAGAGAATAAAGGAACTTATCACTACCACTAAAGCTTTATTCTTCCTGACCAACACTGAGCAGCAGCCAATAAAATCTGTTCTAAGTAGGTCAGCTGCTGCCATCACAACTGATGTCAGGGGTCATTCTGTCCTGAGTTAGCTGCATAATGCACAGATTCAAAAGTATAAAAAGGCTACAGATTAGACAGATTACTTAATTCCTTTACCAAATAAGTATCATGCCTGTGAAAGGCCTATCTCCACATTGCTGCAACACTGCTGACCAACTGGAAGAGTCCCTAAACGCTGCTGAAGATTGCTCTGGATTGCAGAATATTAGTCTGAAGATTTAAAAAAAAGTTTAGATACAGAGCAACATTTTTTTTTCCTCCAAAAAAAACCCCAACACATGTTCCCCAGCAAACCATATCACAGTAAAATCTAAAACTGAAAACCTAACCAGAAATAAGAGCAGCAGGGCCTGACTCCACAGTAGGACTCATACCATGAGCCACCCACATAGATAGTCCAGGTTATTCCCCATGAAAAAGTTTTCTGAAGCTTCCTCTCTCCTTGAGAGGGGGAAAACAACCAGGCAACAGTTTAAACGCACCACCAGCTGTGCCTCCACAACATGGTGGAGAACCTGGACGACGGTTATCACTCCAGCTTCAAAAGCACGAACCAAGTAACCCAGCATTTATATCACTGCCAAGCCAAGCTCTGCAGCCTGCTCTGAACGAGTTTAACGCTACCACAAGCAACGACCGGAACAACCCAAGTCCTGCAACACCACCTACAAATTTCTGACATAAGCATAATTTTTAGTGACTGATAAAAAGCCTAAAATCGCGGCGGGGGGACGGGACGTGCGTTTCACAGGAAACGCAGGTGTCAACCAAGAACGAACGGCAAGTGGAAGGCCGAGGGAGCTCTCCCGCTCTGAAGCTAGGAAATAAAGCCCGGCCGCGGCTTCCCCGCCCGGC